GTTAATTTCTACTTGGCTGAGCCATGTCTGGAATGATGCAGACTCGTGGTCCAAGCTTTGATGCTTTCGGCTTAGGCTGCTGATCCAGAGGAGGCAAAACTTTTGAAGTTTTACTGGGACAGAAAACATTTCATTATAGTGCCCACTAATGATCAGCTTAGTTTGCAGATTTGAATTCTTTAGCATGATTCCCTTCCAGGAAAAAAAAAACAGGGAGTGGGTGGATAAAGTTTTGTATGTCACTTTTAAATGACTGCTCAATGAAATATGTTTTTTCTTTTAATTGAGACCAGTTACACTTGTGTATACTTAAAAGGTTGCTGATTATAATTAGGGATTTGATCTTTTTAAGGCTGGTGGGTTCCCTAGGAGTATTCTGGAATCCCTTCTATTGACTTCAACCCCAAAGTAGTGTCTTTCAGATATATCAAACTACAGTTCCCAGAATTCCCTGGTAACACAGCATATCCTACCTCATCTGGAAGGTTGGGGAACACCATAGTCTTCCATCAATCAACAGTTCTCCAATATGAATTTTCTATTTTTTCACATTCAAGTTGAAAATTTGAACAGGAGAATGTGTCTGAAACTCTTTAGGATGTGTGGACTTCAACTCCCAGAATTCCCCAGCCATCATGCGCTGCAGCTCATGAAAGTCTATACCCTTGAATAACATATGTTAGTAGGAAAAGCTGCTATCAGAATTCTGTTCATCACCTACATTGATTATGTATCATAACGCCATATTCTTTTTCTTCCCTGTTGGCATCTTTGTCAAAACCAGCTGCTATTGTTTGAAAATCATAGGCACCTTTAACAAGCTACAGAGAAGGACTGCTTTAATGTATACATTTTTACTGCAAAATGACCGAGTTGCAGTTGAGCTTTAGTTTGAACCTCATGGACTTGAGAGCAAGACCTTGTTATTCCTTTGCTTCATAATCCATCTTGGCCCAAATAATGCTCTGTCATTGTACCCTCAACCTCTTCCCAAGAGAAGCCAGCAGATATTGCTTCAGAACCTCTGGCAGAAAAGGTTCTGGACTTCTGGGGAAGAAATGGTAAACTGAAGATGGCTCCACTGAGAGCACAGCCAATGACCGTGCTGGAATGAAGAGCCAGTGGTGGACTGACTCTTTCTGATTCCTTTCTGGATAAGGAGAGGACTTGGGATCGCCCACAAATGCTCCAGACAGTTGCTTCTCATGAGAAGACCACAAGACAGTGGTCTCCGGTGGGTTTAGAGTTCTGGAAGACAAGGGAATGTCATCTTAGCCCAAACCGTGGTTGGCGCCTTAAAAAGGACACTGGGTTCTCATACTTCCTTTTCTAATCATTTTTGGAAATTGCTTGTTAACTGCTTTTCAGTTGTTAGGCTCCTTCAGAACAAGTTTTATAACACTGGGTGACTCTCCTTCGATCCTTAGCGAACACTAAGTAACCCATGAAGCTTGTGAAGTTAGTGTTACCAAGACAAAGTTTACACACCAGAATAAGGACCTTTTCCATCAAGGTAAACTGGCAAGTTATTTTTGGTTCAGTATCCTTTTATAAAAATACTGTATTTGCTTTTTACTTATGTCATATTATTTTTAGTTAGGTAGAATCTTGATTTGCAACAGGCTGAATCAAATAAGATGATGGAACAGCGCTATTTAATACAGTGTGAAAAACTAGTAAATAGTGATGCATTCAACTGAACTTTAAATCCTTTGCAAAGGCAGATGAGCATAGAACTTAAAAGGGACTGATGAAATAGAGGTAAACTTAAAAATTATTTTAGACATTAGCTGTGTTCACAAGGCAGCTTGCCCATAGTTAAGAACTGTAGTATACTCAATTTTCTGGGGTTGTGGAATGCATCGTAAATTCTTCACACACATTCTGTTTGCCTGACAGCAAAAATGTATTTGGTTTATTTCTGGTTCAGTATTGTGCAAAACCAGCCATTTTGATGTCCACCTGCAATCAGTAACATTGTGCTACTGGATTTCAAAAGGACCATATTTTAAATTTGCATTGGAGAAGCTGCTTTGGGCAGAAAGGTGGTCCAGATGAACTCTTAAGAGCCAAGTAAATCAAGCCAAATGATTCTAACAGGCAACAGGAGTCCTAATGAAGTCATTTGAATGGTAGAAAGCAGAAAATTCTCAGAATGGTCACATTGGCAATGTCAATAATGTACAAGTGCAAGAAAGTTGTTTAAACACACAAATGTAACATGCATTATCCACAAGCTAAGTCTATGTGGTACAAAGTATTTTCATAATTGCTTCTTGTTTTGGATGGAACATCCCTCCCCTGATTTCCACCAGTGACACGTTGCAATTCTTACATAAAGTAAAATAGCATCTTTTTCAGTTATTCTTAGAATTGGCTGCTGGGATTCTGCTGCTCCCTGGTGAGAATCTGTGGGAACGGCAGCTAAAATGGCTTTCTGGACTTTCTGCAATAATTAGATTCCATCGTAAATCAGCAAATAAGGCAGAGCGACGAATGTATAGAGTTAATTTAATCAAGTTGCTTTTAAAGTTCACTTGCGTGTGTGTATTCTGTTTTCCTGACATTTTGGTACTGCTGTTTGTCTTAATACACAAACAATTTTTTTTTTAAATTTCCTTTTCCAAATCTTCTGCCTTTCAAACCATTGGAATGTGATCTCCATCAATCCCAGCCAGGAAGGCTGCTGACCGAGCTGAGTGGGGGTGATGAGTAGAACTGTCCAACGCATGTGGAATGGACTAGATTGGAGAAGGCAAGTTTCTAATCTTCTGAAGCCTCCTCCAATCTAGTCCATTCCACATGTGTTGGACTGTTTTACTCATCACCCCCATATATGAGCCTATCTCTTATTTAAGATCTCTGGAGGATGCTTTTCTTTGTAGGGAAAAGTTACAATGTACATTGATGAAGCCACCTCCTTCTTCATGGCTGCATACCTGTGAGGGCAGGTAGAAGTTGAACCCTACTGAAGGATCTCTGCAGGGTCTCAATGAATCAGCAAACATTTCTGATGCATAACCTTTTAACAATAGGGAATGGAAAGTTTGCTTCTGTGCTGTGGTGGGCTTTGTGTTGAAATGTACACTTAACAGTTGGGTTCTCCACACTTCGGGAGATCAATACCAAAGCATTGATCAGGTTTTCTCCAGACATTTAGCTCCACTTCCCAGCAAGGCTACCTCAATGTAGTGGTCAAAAAGCGTTAAAATGTCCCATGTTAAAAAAAAAAAAATTGTACGGTGAAACAAGCTGCAGTCCAACCACATCTGGAAGGCCTCAGCTTGCCTAGCTCAGATCATGCCACTCAGAGATAAATAATTATTTATCAAGACTAGTTCTAGACAATATCCAGAGCTAGGCCAGTTAGAGCAGTTGCCTTTGCAGGATATGTTAAGCTTGATTTATGCTAATCTTGGTTAGGTTTGCACGTATATATGCTTTATTATGTTGTGTAAACCCCCCAGTTTGATTAGTTTATGACTCAGCATATTGTGTGAATCCAGAAAATGGGTTAATTCAGTAACCAATTATGTGTATTGTGCAAACTGTGTTAGTGGCTAGATTCATACATTATACTAGGCTAAAATAGATCTTGGTAATCTAAGACCCAGTATGGTGGAGAACCTAGTCATTGTCTTCATGTATTGAGCCATAATGTGGTTCAACTGTTTGGGGACTGTGAATTATGGGGACAAAACATTTGTGCTTTGGTAGCATGGCTTTTGAATTTACTGTATTGCATGAAGCCAGAAAACGTGCATGGACCATAGGTTATCGTCACCTCTGTTGCTACATCTCCTTTCCGACAATTCACATCTAATTCTGATTTTAAGAAAGTAAATGAAACTAAGTGAAGTAGGTTCCCCACGCCTGAAGCCTGCCCACCTCTAACCTAAGCAACAGAGTTTGCAGGACCCCATTTTGTCTTTGGCTTTTCATCTCTGGTTCTTTGCCAATCAACAGCCATTTATGTCCCTTGGCTGTTTTGCTAACTTGAATTTTTAAAATTCTTGTATTGATGCAGCCTTTCCAATCCTCCTTATCTACATTTGTTTTAGGCCTATTCGCTACTTCTGAATTTGCTATAAGATGCCATGGGGAGGAGGCCTTAGCAACTCTTGGTCCAACTGTCTGTGCTTGTTTACTTAGATCTACTAAAAAGGTGCAGTGACAAGAGCTTGATGTTATCTACCTACCTTTAGGCACCTGCATAAACTGGGGTAGGTAAGGGAACCTACTGCTGGCCAAGGGGTGAATTTCAATTTGAAGGTCAGTGAGACCCAAAGAAAAGATGGGACCACAAAGTGGGGACTGGCATTTAGCAGTGAGATTTGCCTCTTTTAGGGGTTATAGTAGAGTATTCATGAGTTGCCCATCACATATTGATGACAAATTCTACTGGTGCATTTCAGAAATCCTTCTCAAGGGAGGTTCTCTGCGGACGACGTGCAGGACCACATGCAATCCTGATGCTGTAGGTTGTCTATTCCTGGTGCAGACTGTGCCCAAAAGGGAGGACAAGGGAATGGAGGCTTAGGCTATTAAAATTCACTTAACTTGCCAATTTGTTACTACCTTCAGTATAACAGGCAATAACGTCACTTCCTGCTCCACTTAGCACATCTTGCCCAAAGCTGGAATTCCAGAGGTCTAAATGCTACCTTTTAAAATATATATGTTTTGTCTATCAAGGTCATATTGACAGTTAGGTTTCTTTAATCTTCTTGAGGCTTTTAAGCAGCTTTCCCTGATCTGGCAGCTAATGGAAATTATGGGAATCAGTCAAAAACACCTAGAAGGCAGAAAATGGGGAAGGCGATTCTTGAGGGAGAATAATTTTGTTGTACTTACATCTCTGAGGGCATACTATGCACGTTATACTTAGCTATGGCTACCTCACAGGGTTCTTCTGTCAGAATGCCGTTACAATAAATTTAACAGAGACGAAATAATGAGAGTAATAAAGACTCTTATTTTGAATATATGTAAAAATACTGCTAAGGATTCAGCGCTGTAATCAGAAAACTTGGTGAAGTAGGTTTGACATCCACAGTAGACAGAAATTTCCAAAAGAATTAACACTGATCAAAGCTGCACAGGCTGGGTTTAAGTGACACACACACACCCATAGTGCCAGAAAACACTTGTTCCACAATAATAGTTATGTCAGCTATTGATCGCTGGAGAGTCAGGGAGAAAGCTGTTTGTCAAGCAAGTACAGCGTCTGACAGGTCCATCAATAGCTGGGACTTGCTTGGTGCACCCGATCCCCAGAGAAGCTGCCATGAACACAGTGCGAATCAGAAAGCTTAGTTTTGAGATGAACTAGTTTTGAGATGAGCTGGGTCTAGTTTAGAAATTCTGTAACATTAGATAAGCAACCAGGGACTCCCAAGGAACAATACATCGTTCCACTCCCATCACTCCCATTCCTGTTTTTATCTCTAGGCTTTTTAATATTGAATCAGTATTTTTCTCTTAACTTTTTTTTTTTTTCACTATAGATTTCCCCCAGTTTGCAGATCTTTTTCTCCTATTAGCTGATGCTGGGCTCCTATTTTGCACTAAACTACATATGTTTATTTTGGCTCAGAGTGTTGTAGGAACCCAACCACTGGGATTTTTACTCAATTTACCCAAGCCATGAGTTAACATAAGATACAAGCTTAGCTACACATAGGCCTTGAGCTTCACTCCTCAGTTATCTCCAGTGACTCTATCCCAGCATTCATTTCAGGATAGTTTAAAGTTGGTGTGTGTGCGCACACACACACACACACACAGATAAATACATGGCTCCCAAATCAGACTCCCCACTGTCTAAACAGATCTGCACTAATTGTTACAGAACGTTTTTAGAAATTCTGGTACTGTAAGCCCAGACCACAATGCTTTTAGACTAGAAAGAGGGCAAAAATTAGTGAGAAAAGCCTTGATTTCCCCAATGATGTTTATACATCTATTAGAAAGGTCTATTTCAGAGACAAACATATCAAGTTAATATTAAAATAATTATCTGTTGGGATATCTGACAGCTTGTCTCGTGTTTTGAATGCAATCCCCAAGTTATTTATTTCTTAGCTGGAAACTGCCTCATTGCTGTTGTGCTAGTATTATGCAGAACATTAACAAAACATAGTAAAACTATCATTTTTTACCCTAGTATCTTTAACTTGTCTTTAATCGTAGGCAAACCTGGCAGAAAAATACAGACCTTTTCTTCATATGGCCCAACAGAAAGACCTTCCATAATCTGCTTTTTAGAACCCCCAATTCAGGTAGACACTGGTTACAGATTAATTCAACACCCACAATTTAATTAACAAAGAAAATAAAATTACAATTGATAATGTCTGCCTGAACTAGTTATATACAACTTAATCCATACTTTAATTGATCCTTACTCTATTTAAATAGATTTATGGTCCAAAGTAGCATTTGCTCCTTTTGAAACATCTGGAAAGTCACCGGAGTGTGCATCTTTGGACCAATCAGTAAAAATGAGGGAAATACATGTGACAGAAGGAAGCCAGCTGGAACATGCATGGGTTCCACTTTATTTGCATACTAAAAGGAAAGCGTCCTGTCCATTCATCCCGTTTGACTTTGAGAGGTGCGGCTGCAATTTTAGGCAACTTCATTTGCAAGGCCCTCCTCCAGGACCTACTTTCAAGGAAGCCTTTTTAAGAACTGGCCATAAATCAATTTAAAGTTCAAGTCTGTCTGCTGAGGGGAGGGAAGCCCAATTTTCTACAATTTCTCATAGAAAAAGGCTCAGGGCGGTGAGGAGGTCTTTCTCACAAAATTAAAATAAATCACAAAATTTTAAGGAATACAAATCTTCATGGTGAACCGCTTCACATTAAGTTACGGCTGGTCTTGTCTGTGGATTATGTACATATTTACAGAAATAAGTTACATGGATGTATCATAAATGTAAGTCTTGGCCCTAGATGCAAAGTGCTTTTTCACCTGGCTTAGATACACAGTAATCAAGTCCAGAGCACCGGGTTTCACAGGGCTGTGTTTGGGAAGGAGTTGGTCAATGAAAGCTGCCGACATGTTGCAAGTTGCAAGGGTGGTGCCTTTTTTTCCCTGAGGGTCCAGTTCTATATTGGGAAAACAGTTAGACTCCATTGGCGCTGGCTTTGCTGCTCCGAGGGGCTTCTATTTTAGTCTTTAAAAAAAAAAGAAAAGGAGTAATGGCAAATATGAGTAATGAAGGTAAAAGGAGACAATTATCAGATTTTTATCCCACCCTTTTCATATATATATGTCAACTCAAGGTGGCGAACATACCTAATATTCCTGCCTCCCATTTTCCCCACAACAACAACCCTGTGAGGTGGGTTGGCTTGAGAGAGAGGGACTGGCCCAAATTCACCCAGCCGGCTTTCCTACCAAAGGGAGGCCTAGCACTCACAGTCTCCTGGTTTCTAGGCCAGCACCTTAACCACTATACCAGTGTTTTTCAACCTTGGCAACTTTAAGTTGTATGGACTTCAACTCCCAGAATTCCCCAGCCAGCATGCCGGCTAGGGAATTCTGGGAGTTGAAGTCCACACATCTTAAAGTGGCCATGTTTGAAAAACACTGCACTACACCAAGCTGGCTCTCTAATGTTTTGGGGTATAGTACTCAAGCACACAGTCAAATCAGCCCCTTTCTTTAGGTCAGTGAAGTATCCACACTATGGAACTCTCCCTAAACTCTGGAGAGCAGTGAGCTTAACATGCTTTAATGCCCTCCCTATGGCAATTCTTGAGGGTGCCTACAAAAGTTTCTTATGAGCTAAGATTGTGGCCTTGTGGAGAAGGGTCTATTGAAACAATAGTCCATATCCTGTGGTGGTGCATTTTTTATAAGGATGCAAGGATCTGCCTTACCACGCCTTATTTAAACAAGTATCCAGGCAATCCGAATTTATTCTATGTACAGCTGTTATTATCAGACCAATATAATTCAGTTTCTGTGAACATGAACAAATGTTGCTGTGCTGTTTGTAAAACCAGACACCCTTTGATTGCACTGATGATCTAGTCATAAACTCTGTTTTATTCTGTTTCATTGGCTGTTAACTTGCTGAATTCTGGTCAATGACCATATAAAGTACTGAACATGGTCAGACCTTGATAAAAAACCAAACTCTTCTTGGAACCTCATCCTGGCTGATTTCAACAGGTCTTTCTTCTCAGTAAATGCTTATGAAATCCTAAATGGGACACCATTCCTACTTTGTTCAAGATACTGCCATAGTTCTTCTAAAAGCCAGCTGTAACACTGTATTCTGATTCCAGACTTTGAATAGGAACATTTATCTTTTCACACTCAGGGGTTTTCTGGTTTCAACAGTGTCTGTCTACCAGGTGTAAATTTTAGTTACTATACAATGGGGCAAAAAAGTATTTAGTCAGCCACCAATTGTACAAGTTCTCCCACTTAAAAAGATGA